AGCTGGCTGTGCCCTGCAGCAGGGGCTGGCACCAGCCCCCCGAGGGGTCCCGGCTGTCCTGAGGCCTGGTGCTGCCCACTGGGCCAGGGACTCCAGGTGAAGCAGGATGCCTCGGGGAATGCGAGTGGGGCCCTGGGGAGAAGGGGAGGCACCAGGGCTGTGCTGAGCATCACCTTGGGCTCTGGCAGCTCTGAGATAGACTGGCGCAGGTCCTGCCGCCGGTACCCGAAGAAGGTGCTGGAGCGGTTCTCCTTGCGCTCATTCCTGCGGTCCTCACTCTCAGAGGTGCGAGGGGCAGGCTTTGGGGTCGGGGGTGCCTCCGTGCTGTGGAGCAACTGGCTGATAAGGGGCAGGTGGGTGGCAGGGGGAAAGGGGAGCAGGGCTATGCCGTGGGCCAGCTGGACCATGGCCAGGAGTGGCCGCCCTCAGCCAGGCACCAGCACCATCTCCAGTAGAGCTTAGCAGTGGATGCTTAGGGGGGACAAGCCAGCAAGACAAGTGTGGATGGCTCAGGTGACAGCGGTGTCCAGGTGAGCCTGGGGGCTGCACATGGGGTGTCTCTGCACCATGCCCCACCACAGGGACAGGGCCACTGTGGTGGCATGGCAGGATGGACCCCTGAGATGTGGTTTGGCATAAAGGGAAGCTGGGCGTGCAGTGGGCTGGGGAGGTGGGAGAGAAGCATCTGGGGTGGAGGAGAGTGAGGATGGCTCAGTGGTGCGGGGCCAGTGGGGAGGGGTGAGGGCGGTGAGAGGGGGTGGCTCAGAGCCAGCGGTCCCCACCACAGCATTTGCCTGTCTCCAGCATGGCTCAGCCGGTCCCAGTCGGGTCCCCAGGCCATGGACCGGGGTCGTCCACTCCGCCGGTCCTCAAAGCAGACCTGAGAACACAGGGAGCCTGAGAGAGAGCCAGGAGGGATGAGAGTGCAGAGCCTCCCCTCTCCTTCCCTTGCTCAGCCAGGGCCAGCAGTGCCCTCTCTGCCCAGTCCTGGTTTTGTGCCAGTACCAGCCACCCCACAGCAGTGCTGTCCCCCCACCCAGGGCAGACAGGGACCCCAAGGTCCCCCATGCACAGTGCCCCTCACCATGATGCTGCTGCAGCTGCAGCCCTATCAAGCTGTTCCTTGCAGCCCCAGACCTGCATTGGCTTGTCCAGTGTCACCCCACAGGTGCCACGCAACACCCGTGCAGCCCCGGCTGTGCCTGCACCGTGCTCACCACCCTGGCACTCACCATCTCCCGGACCCCATACTGGCTCTCCACCTTAGCCCGCAGCTGCATGAAGCACTGCTCCATGCGCTCGTGGAAGGGCCGCAGGTCTTCCGTCACCTTCCGCCCGTGGATCTGGATCCCCTCTGCCAGCAGCGGGGTCTGCAGGAGAACGGGGACAGGTCTGCCTGGGCTTGTGGGGCTCCCCCAGGATGGGGATGCTGGGCAGTTGGCACCCCAGGGCAGCTGTCCCCTCCAGCTGCTGGAGGGATGCTGCGGGCTGTACCTGCCAGGCGATCAGGTCCTTCAGCTTCTCGATGTTCCCCTCATCCTCAGGGTGCTCTTGCAGGTAGGACTCCTGGAAGAAGGCCTGCAACAACCCCCTCTCAATTCTGCTGACGGGCTGGCTCGGCTCCGCGCAGGCAGGGGATGGTGCGAAGCGGTGCCAGTGCCTGCAGTTGCCAGCCCCGAGAGTGCCCACACTGGCCCCAGCGCAGCACCCACATGTCCTCACCGTCTCATACTTGGCAAAGCCACCCATGACAGCAGGGTCCACGATGCCGTTGAGCAGCATGGAGAGTGGGTTGATGGGCAGGCTGGGGTCATTCTGGTGCCGGTTGATCTCGCTCATAATTTTCTCATTCGTTTTCATCATGGTCTCAATGGCATTTTCCAGGGGGGAGATGATGGTCTGTGCCCAGGGAGGGAGGAAGGGAAGGTCAGCAGGCGGCTGACCCAGCAACCTGCCTGTCCTGGTGTGGGCCGGCAGGGTGGTCTCTCCCTGGTCCTGCAGGAGAGAGGCCCCGGGGTCGCACATCTCACCCCACAAAGCCCCTCAGACCCCTGGCACCGGCTGCCTGGAGCTGAGCCGAGGGCTCATGGGGGAAGCACTGGAAGTGTTGGTCCCCGGCTCCAAGCACAGGCTGCCGGCAGGGTTAGTCCTGCAGGCCAGGTGATGTACGTGTGGCAGTGGCAGCTCAGCGGTGAGCTTATGGGAAACCTGGGTAAACGTCGTTGTCAGTAGGGGGGGCAGCTGTGCAACCAGCGTGCACAGAGCACTGCAGTAGACAGGCATGTGTGACAGCACTCGTGCGTGTGGCAGCACTCGTGCAGCTGTACAGTTGCCCTGCAGCACAGCTGTCGTGCAACAGCCTGGCTAGTGCATTTCACGTGTCTTCCTTGCTGCAGCACCTGAAACACCCTGGACTTTGGCCAAGCACCTCTCTCTGACAGAGGCGTAAAACCCACGGATGGAGCTGTTGTCAGCAGCCCCAGAAGTAGCAGTGGTCTGCTGAAACTCGTCCAGCGCCTCTGCTGCTCCCTGCACACTGTCTTCTGCTTTCCACGGAGGAGATATGCTTCCCAGTGGGTGAGCCACACAAACCAGTCCCTGTCACCAGGTTGATGCTACCGGCACCAGCTGACAGAGGCTGTCGCGGCCCTGAGTGCCAGGGGATCTCCGTGCCCAGTGTCAGCAGAGAAACTTTTCCCCTGCTCTGCAGGCGGATGGTGCATGTGGGAGCTGGGTCCGCTTTGCCGCAGGCACTGCCCTGGACCACGCACCTGAGGGACCACAGGGGCATGGGAGTGAGCTGGGAGTCACAGGGTTTCGGGGCTGGATCACATTTACATTGAGAGCAGAGACTGATGGGGCGCAGGGACCCAGGGCAGGGGCTCGTCCGGGGCAGCAGATGGGATGTGCTTCCCGCACCCCGGCTTCAGCCACTTGAGCTTGGGAAGCCTGGAAGGGGCTGGGGGCAGCGTGCTCACCTGGATCTGGGGTTTGTGATGCTGCTTGGGGAAGGGATGCCCTGGGAAGGCCCCGCTCCCCCCGCACCCTCCTCCTCACCGTGGTAGTGGAGGTCACCACGAACCAGCGCAGGATGCCGGGCAGGGGGTAGGCTGTTACGAAGGTCGTCCGCTCGATCCACATGGTCTGCGGAGAGGGCAGCAGTCATCGTGCTGCCCTCCTCCCCATCACCCTGGGACACCCCTGGCTGCCCCGTGGGGCAGGGGGCTCCCACCTCCCCTTCCCATGGGCATGGGACCACCATCTTCCCCATCCCAGGACGGGGGGAGCCCCTGTCTCTCCTGCATCCCCCTTCCTCCGGACACCTGGCTCGTCACAGGGGCCCCTCAGCTCTCCCTGTCCCTCCCAGCCAGGGGTCCCGGCAGCCCCTGCCAGCACTCACTGCAAATTCATTGTCTGGATCCTTTGGGCCTTTCTTGAAGGGCCGCGAGTAGCTGAATTTCTGGACGTGGTTGGCTTTATAGAAACTGCAGGGGAGGGAAGGGGCAGAGCATGGGAGAGGTCCCCCCTGTTGTGTTCCCCGCCACGTGGAGCAGAGCGGGTGCACCCTGTCCGTGCCGGGGCACTCACTTGGTGATCTGCTCTGGGATGCTCCGGTCTTTGAACCGGACCTTGGCTTCCTCCACCGGCTGCACGGTGAAACACTGGATATCTGTGGGAGTGAAGGAGCCATGGGCGCACACTGCAGGTGACAGAGGCTGCGTGGGAGAGGGGCCCTGGGGCCCAGAGGGGGAGAACCCCAGGGGTGCGTGGGGAGGCGCTGCAGGACCCGTGCAGGGGACAATGGCACAGGGAACGAGCCACCCTCCCAGCCCCATCCCCACACTTGGAGGATACACTGGCCCGGGGAGCCGGTGATGTCCTGGCTGGGTGGAGACGTGCTCTTCAGCTGCTCAGCGTTGGGGAAGGGGCTCAGCAGCCGCATCTCAAAGTCCTCCCGGCGCTCATACTCCTTGCCCCGGTAAATGAAGACCTTGTTCTGCGAGGGAGGAAGATGGCAGCCCGTCCCAGCACGCTGCGGAGCGGGGCCGGGGAACCTTCGGCCCCATGCTCCAGCTGCAGCAAGCTCTGGTGCCTTAGGGGTGCAGGCACCGACGAGGCTGGGCCCTTAGCTGAGCGGGAGACACCCCCCCTCAAAAAACTTATTTCCCTAAACCAAGCAACTGGAGGAAAAAGGAATTAAAGGGCGAGCTGGCTCAGGCAGACAGGGGTCTAGAGCAAAGGTCTTTGGCTGGGCATGCAGCGACTGGGGTCTGCGGTCGGTGGATACAGAAACCACCCAGGAGACAGCAAGGAGCCCTTGAAACCCACCGTGACCTCTGTGAAAATAATGCCGCCCTTGCTGTGGCCATAACAGCGGCATAGGAGAATAAGGAGCAACACTTTGGATGGAAGAAGCCCACCAAGCATGCCAACTTACATCTGAGTGGATTAAAAACCTAAGGAATGTAATAGGAGTGAATGGGGGTGAAACACTGCTCTCATCGAGAAAGATGAGCCCTGCTCTCGCTGGTGGACGCCAGGAGCCTGTCTGCCAGCACAGGAAAAGGGAGAGGTGCTGAGCAAGCCCCTGCCTACAGCACCGTGCTGCAGGGACAGGGCAAGGGTTGGTGGGGAGAGGGTTGGCGGGGCTCCCGCAGTGACCCCGGAGGTACCCAAATCTGTTTATAAATAGCACAGACCCATCTCTGCACCACAGGTATGATACAACATGCATCTGTCCCTGCAACCCAGTTATGACATGGCACAGACCTGCACTGGGGACCCGGTCATCACCACCACCCTGGCAAGGGGCCCCATCCCTTGGGAGCGGGGACACCACCAGGGCTTGGCTCACAGGGTGTCACTCTGAGATGGCCGCAGCCATGAGGCTTGGCCTGGGTGCCGGCACTGTCCCAGGCAGGTACAGCGTGCCGGCTGCTGGCATGGTGCTGGCCTCGGGGCAGCTGGGAGCCACTTACCCGGAGGAAGGTGGGGAAGCCTTGCCCGTAGTAGCCCACGGCAAAGTAGTCTGGGCTGGGCCGCAGCACCTTCAGGATCTTCTCGTAGAACTTGGCTTCCCGCTGCTGCAGGGGGAGAGGGGCAGGAGTGGGGATGGGCCAGGGCCCTGCCATGGGATGGGAGCCCTGCAGACCCCCCGTCCCTCCCCGTGGCTCGCGGCACCCCAGCCCACTCTGCTGGCAGCCGCCACCCCCAGCCCGGCCAAGCACTCACCAGGATGTCACTCAGCATTTCGTAGTCGAAGACTTCACTCTCGTACTGCTCCGCCAGCTCCTTGCAGATGTGGATGGCCTCCTCCCACATCTGCAGAAGATGGGGCCAGGGTGGGGGCCCCGCAATGTGGGGTGAGCTGGGGAGGAGGGGCACTGGGGGCTTCCAGAAGAGACCAGCCCCATCTGTGGGGGCACCCACACCCCTGCTCCTGAGCGAGGAGGAGAGGGCTCTCCCATGCGGGCTGGTGGTCCGGCTGGGCACTGGTGGGCTGCAGCAGGACTCAGATTCTTGCCATCTCCAGCACCTGAGCTCCCTGCCCAGGCGAGCCCCTTTCCTGGGGTGCTCCAGCTACTGGCCCCCAGGCAGTGCCAGGGCTGGGGGCTGAGGCTGGGATGGGACGGGATGGGTTTGGGGGAAGGACAGCCACAGCAGCCAGGTGGCTGTGGGGTGAACCGTCCAGCCTGGGCTCGCTGCAGGGCAGCTCCAGCCCCACCATAGTGGTGGGGTGGGCAGGTGGGCTGTGCTGAGGCTGGGGGCTCAGAGCAGGAGGCAGCAGTGGCTGGGGAGCCAGGCTTGCCCTGAGATAGCCCAGCTCCCACTGGCTGGGAGAGGCGAGGGGGGCTGCTGGGGGCGCACAGCCACGCTCACCTTGCCCTGGTCGAAGTAGTCGATGATCTGGTTGTAGAGAGCCTCCTTCAGCTGGCGCTGGGTGTGCAGGCTGGGGCTGTGCAAGCCCTGCATGGGGGCTGTGTTCGCCTCATCCGACCACTGCACAGAGGCAGCGGGAGCCCATCACGCTGAGCCCCTGGGCCCCAGCTGGGCGGCCCCTGCAGGCCCTGCAGCCCCTGTACCCCCCGTGCCCCACCTTGAGGAGCCGGGCGTGCAGTAGCAGGGTGTAGGCTCCCTCCGTGTAGTTCTCATAGCTGACATGCAGGTCCTTCAGCTTGTACAGGTACCTGGGAGCAAGGGTACCATGTGTGGGGCATGACGGCCGGCACAGCTCGGGGTCTGGCCCGTGCTCCCCCACAGGGCAGCATCCCTCACTGGCAGCTGGGTACAGGTCAGAGCCCATGGTGCCCTGCCCCTCCGGCCACTCTGCCATCCCCATCCCACGTGCCTGGGGCCAGGGCGGCAGGGGGCTGGGACAGCTCAGGGCCCTGGGACCCCTCACCCCACAGCGATGCTGGTCTCCCTGGGGCCGTGCTCACCTGATGTACATGGCCTGGCGGTCGATCTCCTTGTAGAAGTTCTGGGGAAGAGCAAATGAGGCTGTTTTAAGTGATCCCAGGAGGGGTCATGTGCCGCAGCCCCCAACTCTCCCACACCTTGCTCTGGGTCATGGTGCTGCCAGAACTGTCCCCGTGTGGGGACTGGGTTGCCCTTGGCAGCGGGGAGCTGCACGGTGCCTCCCAGCAAGTACCTCCTGGGGGACACCGGGTCTGGCACCACGTGCACCCCATCTCTGCTGTGCAAGGGGCACCACAGCCCCTGGGGGGACCTGGGGGGACACGGGGCTGAGCCCTGGGGGAGCTGGGGGCATGGGGCAGGTGCCCACCAGGAGGTTGACGGTGCAGCTCATGCTGTAGGTTTTGTTCTCATCATTCATAACAGCCCGGTAGTCGAGGAGCCGCTCCAGGAGCCCGGTCACCAGTGCGACGAAGTTCTCCCCGGGCTTGGCCAGCTCAGGGTGTCTCTGGCAGCAGCTGAGGAGGCTGGGGAGGAGAGGACGTCATGGGTCTCACTGCATACTCAGCTCCCTCCGCTGCCCTGGCTCAGCTCCCCCAAGGTGCAGGGAGTTGGGGGGGGGGGGGGGGGGGGGGGGGGGGGGGGGGGGGGGGGGGGGGGGGGGGGGGGGGGGGGGGGGGGGGGGGGGGGGGGGGGGGGGGGGGGGGGGGGGGGGGGGGGGGGGGGGGGGGGGGGGGGGGGGGGGGGGGGGGGGGGGGGGGGGGGGGGGGGGGGGGGGGGGGGGGGGGGGGGGGGGGGGGGGGGGGGGGGGGGGGGGGGGGGGGGGGGGGGGGGGGGGGGGGGGGGGGGGGGGGGGGGGGGGGGGGGGGGGGGCAGGCCCCCCCAACAAGGGACAAAAAGCAACACCTGGTCAGCAGCGAGACAGGCAAGCCCCATGCTGCCCCCCACCAGGTACATCAGGGATAGGGAGAGACCTGACAGCTCCAGCCACTCTGCACATGAATCTATGATGGGTACCACGGGGCAGGAGCAAAGCCTGGGCAGGGCAGGGGCATCACCTGGGGCACAGGAATCCCCTGGTGCAGGGCAGGGGTAATTCCAGGGGCAGGGGCATTGCTGGGGGCAGGCAGGGGCAGGCTAGCCAGGGCAGCAGCGGTGTGCAAGGGGCACATGATGTTGCTCAGGCAGCAGCCTTCCTCCTCTTGGGTCCTACCCCCCTGAGAGGCATGCTCTGGGTCAGAGCACAGCATGAGGAGGAGCAGGATGGCCGAGATTCAGCTGGGGCAGGAGAATGGTAGACAGCAAAGGGCCATGCCCTGGAGAGAAGCTTGTGGGGATGTCACTGCACACTCACATGCTCTCAAAAAGCTGCTTGTACTGCTCATCTCCCCGACCGCCCTCCACCTCGCTGTCCAGCTTGCGCAGGATCTCGTCCTCAAACTGCAGAGATGTGCATGAGCGCGGCCGAGGAGCCAAGGATGTGCTGAGCTTGGCCCCAATCTGCCACGGCTGCAGCCCCGCGACATGGGGCTGCAGTGCTGGGACAGGAGGGGCTGTGGGAGCTGGAGCCAGCTTGGGCCCCCAAACAGCCCCCAGGCTCGGCTGCTGCAGCCCTTTCCCCCAGGACTGCCCGGCACAGACAGGTCTCTGTCCCCGCTCCCAGGCCATACTGCTCCCTGGTGTGGATGGGTCCTCACACTGCCCCAGCACAGACAGGGCCCCATCCTGCTCTCTGGGTCCCTGACTTGCTCCCCAGTCCCCATCCCGCTCCTGCACTGGCCTCGTCACCGTTCCCCAGCAGTCTGGGCCTGGCTGACCCCAGGGTTCTCTGGGCAGTGCCCTGTGCCCCCTAAAGCCACAGCCTTCCCTGCCGAGGGTGGCAGGGCTGTGCCAGCCTGGGGTCCCCCATCTCCCAGCTGATGCTCAGCCTTCAGGTCCACGGGATTTGTGCTCCAGCTGCAGCCGATGGACCCAAAAGCCTGGGGGATCCTGCACGTGCATGGTATGGGATGGGGGCAGTCTGGAGCAGATATCTGATTGCTGGTACCCCTTGGTACCCCTTGCCTCCACACTGGGTCCCTCTAGTGTCTGCACATCCCAAACTCGGGGGACCTTGTCCCCCTGGGCCAGGGGCACTGCCATGGTCGGCTCCTGAGCCGCAGAGCCCCTGTGCCACAGCAGGATGGCTCGGGGACATCTCCTGCAAAGGCCTCAGGTCCTCTGAGCCCAGCCGTGCCCACACTGCTCCTCCAACGCAACTCTCCTGTGGCTGCAGACCCAGGTGCGAGCAAGGAGCTGGGGAAGGGGCTGCAGCAGGACCCACGTCACCGTGGCTCCGAGGGCAGTCCCAGCCCCTCTCCTCCTGTGGGATGCCCCAACAGGGCGAAAGGCTTCCAGCTCAGAAGAGACAAATGCCACCTAATCAAAAACTGGAAAAGCCTTTTGCATGGAGAAAACTCACAGCAACAAGGGAAAACAAATGGAAACGCAGGAGGTCTGCGCAGACTTCCCCCTTCCCACTGTGTTCTTGTTTCCAGCCAGTGCCGGGACTGGCTGAGTGGGTGACGCCTGACCCGTCCCTGCTCATCCCTGGGAAATCCTCTGCGTCACCTGGCGGCTCTCCCTGCTCCTCATGTCCCCACCAGATCCCCCCGTCCCCTGTCCCTTGTCCCTCCCTCCTGCAGGCCCACATCCCAGGATGAGAGAGGGGAGGCTGAGCATCACCTCCACCCACCCCGAAAGGGATGGTCCAGCCTGGGTGAGGAGCAGGATCTGGCCATGTTGACCTCCTGCCATGGCCCAGCCGCAGCCCTGGCCACTCACCCGGCTGAAACTCTCGGTCAGCTGGTACTCGCAGAGCATCATGTCGAAGAAGATGGGGATGGTGGACTTGCGCAGCTCCAGCTCCGGCACGAGCGTCATCTCCAGGATGGGGCCCACCATGCCTGGGATGAACTCGATCTTGTGATGGCCTGGGGAGGGGAGGGAAGGCTTGGGGGGCCAGGCTCTTGCAGCCTGCTTCCTGGGGCCAGCCCTGGCCTGGGGCCCCGCAGCTGCAAACAAGCAGCAACGCAGGGAAGAGGAGAGAGAGCGGTGCCAGGAGGTCTGCACGCCTGGGGCAGGTGGCTGCAGCAGAGCCGGGCAATGCTCTGGGGCAGCCATGCTGGTGGGCAGGTAATGCTGTATGGCCAGGACAGCACGGCAACCACTCGGCTGTGGTACCATCAGCTGGGGTTGTGCTGCTGTTCTGGAGGCCCTGGCACCTGTGAACAACCCACGCAGGAGCCTGCAGGCACCCATCACTGCTCCACCGCTGCGCTGTGGGCTGCTCCCTGAAGCTCCCTGCTAGGGTGTGGGGCAGAGACCTGAGGTGCTGCATCCTCCCCACCTGCCTGGCCCTGGGATGCTGTTGACAGCGCGACCCGCACTGTGCAGGGGAAACAAGGCAAGGCAGGAGCCCACAGGACTGGGGAACGGGAAGGCAGGGCTGCAGGCAGATGCCAGCCCGGAGAGGGGAGGCTGCCTGCAGGGAGTGCGAGCTCATGACTGGCCACAGTGCCTGCTGGCTCGCACACCCATGGCCTTGCACGCCTGCAGATGTGTACATCCCCCAGGCTCACATATCCCACAGACTTGCACATCCCGCAGCATCCCACAGATTGCACACCCTACAGGCTTACACGTCCCACAGGTTTGCAGATTCACACGCCTGCAGGCTCACACACCCTGCTTGCACCTGCAGGCTCCCATGCCCCACACAAGCAACATCCTGCTCCCCAGCACCCATTTTGGGGACAGTCCTGATGAACACCAGCCTGCAGAGACTTGCCAAGCCTCCTCATTGTTGGCCACACTGCAGCTCACCTAGGTTGTACCACATGTCCCGAATAGCAGCTCCGATCGTGGCTCTCATGTCTCCGTACCTGCCAGGGCGGATGGTGGTTAGCATCACTCTGTAGCCTGGAGCACAGCATCCAGGCCAGGAGCCCAAGCACTGCCCAACCAACTCATCCCAAAACCCCTGACCCCACGGCGTAGCAGCAGGCAGGCAGGAACCTGAAGCAGAGCTGCAGAACTTGGCCCTGAGGTGATGCCGGCAGGTAGCTGGGCCAGGGAGAGCCAGTGAAGGCGAGGGGGACTCACTTGGCCAGGATGCTGTTGCGCTTGGCTTGAGAGAAGTTCTCCAGCTGCAGGGAGTCCTGGGTGAGGAAAGCCACGGCCAGGTGGAAATAGTTGTTCCAAAGCTGCAGTGAAAACACAGTGTCCTGGTTTTGGCTGTGATAGAGTTAATTTTCTTCCTAGTAGCTGGTATAGTGCTGTGTTTTGGATTTAGTATGAGAATAATGTTGATAACACACTGATGTTTTAGTTGTTGCTAAGCAGTGCTTACACTAGTCAAGGACTTTTCAGCCTCTTATGCCCTGCCAGCAAGAAGCTGGGAGGGGGCACAGCCAGGACAGCTGACCCAAACTGGCCAAAGGGGTATTCCATACCATATGATGTCATGCTCAGTATAAAACCGGGGGGAGTTAGCCAGGGGCGGGGGTTACCGCTGTTCGGGAACTGGCTGGGCATCGGGTGGTGAACAATTGCATTGTGCATCACTTATTTTGTATATTCTCTTATCATTATTATTATTTCCCCTTCCTTTTCTGTCCTATTAAACTGTCTTTATCTCAACCCATGAATTTTACTTTTTTTTTTCCCCCTGATTCTCTCCCCCATCCCACTGGTGGGGGGGGAGTGAGTGAACAGCTGTGTGGTGTTCAGCTGCCTGCCGGGTTAAACCCATAACACACGGGGACGAATGCCAGGCTGGGTGGCACGGGGGGCTGGGAGGGCAGGCAGCACCAAGTGCCAGGCTGGGTCCCCTCCCCAGCCCCCGCAGGGTACAGGCAGCCCAGGGCTGGGGCAGTGCCCGCTCACCTGCAGCTCAAAGCTGCTGTTGCTCAGGAACATCTCCGTCAAGGTCGCAGCAAACAGGTTGATGGCACGCAGGAACTCCCTGTGGGGTGAGCGGCCACAGGGCACTGAGCGGAGGGCAGCCGCGCTGCCTGCCCACCGCCCGCAGGCAGGGCTGAACGGCAGCGAGGGGAGAGCCGGGCTGGTGGCTCCCAGAGATGCAGAGGCAAGGGGGGGGGGGCAGACGGGTGCCAGGCCTCGCAGTGCCCTGGGGCTGGGGCTTGCAGTGTGCTCCTGCCCGCATCCACACTCCAGATGGTCCTTTCTGCCCATTGCAGTGCAGCTGAGTGCTGCCCGGGTGCACCGGTCCTGCACGCCCGGCATCCCTGCCGTGCACAGACACCCAGGGTGGAAGGGATGGGGTGTCTGGCATCAGCTTCCCGCTGCCGCCCAGGAGCCCCCCAAGCACACTGACGGAGCTGCAGAGAGCAGCTCTGCCACCAGGCTCCCAGATGGGGCCGGACTGTCCCAGGACAGAGCAGGAAGCGTCTGGAGCTGCACCGAGCCAGCCCAAGCACGGACTCAGGGCTGTTCGAGGGGGATTTGGAGGGGGCTAAGCTAGCTTTAAGCTGCCCGGCACAACCGTGCTGCAGTGCCTGTGTGCCCTCTGCCCAGGCCCCAGCAAGGCACCCCAGGTTCTCACATCCAGCCGCAACATCCACCTGCAGGTCCCTCCCAGCCTAGAGGTCCTCACCGGTTCTGCACCATGTTCATCACCATCCAGTCAGAGGGGTACACCATCTTGCCAATCAGGTCCTTGAAGAGGATGAAGGTCTCCATGAGGAAGTCCTGCCAGGAAGGAGGAGATGTCAGGAGCTGGGCTTGACCACGATGCCCTCCCAGGGCGATGCTGTGCTGAGCACCGGGGCTGGGAGCAACCCTCGCCACCCAACAGTGAGAGCTTCACCTCTATAGAGCGGGGATGTGGGCTGTGCCGGGGTCTAGGGCAGGTGGCACCAGTGCCAAGTGCCCAGGTGCAGGCAGGGTGCTGGGACCGGTGGGATGCCCCAGCCGAGACGTGGGGTGGAGAGGCAGGGAGGTGCTGGTGATGGAGGGCCAGGGTCTCACTGCGCAGGGCAGCACTCACCATCAACTCGGGCCGGGAGGGGAACGCCTTGATGTAGGAGCTGTAGTGGTCCTTGTCCATCTGGCTCAGGATGGCAGCCATGCAGGCCACATAGTGACTCTGGGGGAGAGGGGCTGGTCAGGCACTGCCAAGGCCCCACAGCTGGCACCATGGGGTGCACTGGGGTCGAGGGGGCCCACACACACCCATCCGTGTTCCTCCAGCTGGTCTGTACCCCGGAGCCCCAGCTGCCCTGGGGACCCCTCACCCTCCGCCTGCTGTAGCACCCTCCTCCCCGGATCTCCAGACCTCTCCTCCTGCCCCACTCAGCCCTGGCTCCTGCAGCCAGCCCTTCCTCTCCTGGTCCCACGCATCCCGTTCCGAGGGTGGGACAGCTCTGACACCTGCCATGACTCTGGGGAGAACACAGACACAACTATATAGCGTATTTGCTGTAGCATATATCCATAATTTTTAAGGTAATTTAAGGCAATACGTGCATGTAAGTGCATTTTGAAAATGGCAAGCAGCTTCTTTCTGGAGGCTGATGTGTCTAGACTGCCTCTAGCGAAGGGTCCCAAATTGAGCCATTAACTCCACTCCCATACCGGGTGCTCACAGCGTTGTTGTGAGACGAGCAGCGCGGCGATGGCGCAGGCTGACCAGGATGCCTGTCTCTGCACAGTGAGAAAGGTGGTACCTGATCTCCAAATTGTGCTCAGCTGCATTGCTCGTGAAACGAGAGGCACGGGTGGTAGGGTGCAACACCCACCTGCTGCTCACCACAGTGCTTCATCTTCCATTTAGCTAATTAATGCAACATTTTCCTGACCATACTTCTAACATAGACGAGTCTGCAATAGACTTGCTCTTGGGACAAAGCTACAGGAAACTCCCTGGGGAACTGAGCAGCAACTGAAGCCCAAAAGCCAATGGGGTCAGGGCTCTGGGTTACTGAACATGGGTGTTGCTCAATTGCCAGGATCCTCCTGAGCTCTGCTCATTCGGACGGTGGCCAGCTGCAGCACTGAGCTCAGAGAGATGCCTTAAAGCATTACTTCCCCAAAGGATGGCTGCTGCCATCCCCTGGTGGGGCAGTTTGCAAGGAGGCACCACCACAGCCCACACCCAGGTGTGTGGAAAGCAGCTCCAAGCCCTCGTGTGACATTTTAGGAGTCTGTATCCCAGGAGTCGCCCCACACCCAAAGTCACCCGGGGATGCAGCAGCCCTGGTCCAGCCCCTGCAGCACAGCAGCAGAGTCAGCATGTGGAAAAGCTGGCTGCTCTCAGCATCAACCACTGTTGCAAGGGTGCTGTCACCCCGCACACCACCACCAGAGCCGCACATGCCAGGGAACATACAAACCAACCCAACCACCCTTGGAAGTGCCATGGTGTGCTGGGGACGGGCAGAGCCCGGGGTCAGTCAGGTCACTCCAGCGCAGTGGGAAGCCTGGCACTGCTGGGGCTGAGGGGGGGCAAACACTTGGCCATGAGAGTGCCTGACGCTTTCTATTATTAAAGACCCAGTTTTCAGCGGTGTCCAGCGTAGCCCATGTGTGACTGCTCAGCTGGAAAACTGTCCTTGGAGTGCACCCAGGGCTGGAAACTGCAGGAAAAGGGTGGCTATTTCTGGGGGTAAGAGCATCATCTGGCAGGCTCAGGAGGAGTGAAGGCCCTGCCATGTCCCAGTGTCACCGACAGAGCTTTGTGGGTGGCTTCAGGTGCTAACCCTTCCCTGGAGCCTGCCGTGCTGTGAGCGGTGCAAGGGCACCACTGCGTGCTGAGCACCACTGGCCATCCCAGGTGTGCAGGAGAAGCCCCAGCAGCACTGCACGAAGGCATGGGGCATTGCAGGCCCCTTCCAGCCCTGGCAGGTCAGCCGCTGCCAGAGCTTCCTCCTGGCTCATTCCACTGGCTCCAGCAGTCCCTTGCTCCGTGGCAGGGATGGAGCCCCGTCGCAGCCCCAGGCCAGCCCTTGCCAGCTGCATGGAGCAGCCAGCGGAGGGGGCGTTTCAGAGGCCAAAGGGGACAGCCCAGGGCCACTCGGCTGCTGCCTGCAACCAAGGACCCTGGGTTCACCCCACTGGCTGCTGGGCAGCCCTGGCAGCGGGGCCGGAGAAGCTTCTTGGGAAGGGCTGCAGCATGTGGCAGGGGATTGCTGCGGGGAAGCACTGTGCCCCACGGCCAGCCCTGGCTGCCGTCCAGGGTGAGGGCAGGTTTGCAGGGAATTATCTTGTGAGAAGCAAATTAATAAAAACCCAACGGATCCCAGTCCTTTTAGCATCAAAGTGAAGCCACAGACCTGAGGCTTCCCTACTGACCACTGGCACACAGCAGGACCGGCAGCGCCTGCACGCAGGGAGGCCATGCAGGCATGCCGCAGAGATCCTGCGGAGACACCCAGGTCACTGGCTGCGGGTGGCTGCCTGCACGAGTCCGAGCGAGTACAACTTGCCCGCAAAGCTGGAGGCGAGTCCCTCCTCACCATGCAGCATGGCCTGCTCCCAGGACTCAGCTCGGGAGCAGGGGATGCCCTGCCTGCAAGGTAGCAAGCACTAAGCGCTGGCAAAGTGGGGAAAGTGCCACAAATTCACCCATGTTCCCTAAATGACCGGGTGTGCAATGCCACAGAGCCCTGGTCTCGGGAGAGACCCCATGGTGGGAGCTGGGGTTGCCTTCCCCACTGTCAGAGCCCGGCTGCGCAGCCGTGCTGCTCACCAGGGTGGAGCAGGAGCAGCCTGAGCCTTTGCTGAGGTTCTGGGGGGCCATTTGTCTTATACCAGCCAGTGGTGCACGTCACCCACCATCACTGCAGAGAGAAGCACTGCGCGACCAGCACAGCCCCATGGGGAACGCAGGGCAAGGCAGGAAGGCGACGGGAGGAAACTTTTGCGGCAAGCCAGTCTGTTCTGGGGATTTGATGAGATTAGTTCAGTCATCTGGAAACAGCTGTTCTGGTGGCTGCTGGAATTAGATTCAGGTGAACTCCCTGCACCGCCTGCTACACCTTCTTCAAGGGAAACTGTATTTACATTTAAATTACATTACTGGGAGCCACACAGCCAGGCACTGCTACACATATGGATGTGGTTTGTCCTGTGGATGGCGTGTGCATGGGGATCAAGCCCGGGGTAGCCCAGCACAACATATGGCCCCCAAGCCTGCTAGGTGGTCACAGGCACTAACAGTCCCAGACAGCCCCCAGCCAAGCCACAGTCCCACCACCCAGCACCTCCCGCACTGGCTGCTGCAGCCCCAGCACGGCCCCAGCGTGGCTGGGACACTAGGCACACGGCAGGGCCACGGGCAGGACAGGCTAAAAGCTGGAGAAGAGGGTCTGTGGTCTCCGGAGGGATGCTGCATTCCTGCCTGCTGCTCTCCAGCTCGGGGACCTGGCAGAGCCCCTGCCCGCTGCTGTGGTGTGGCTCCTGCCACCCCGCAGCCCTGCCTGGTGCAAAGGCCACCTTCCCCAGGTGCCCACGGGCGCACTGCCTGCCGCCGCGTTCCCAGCCCCGGGGCGGGCATGGGCCTTTCCCGGCCCCGTGCAAGCTGCTCCCGGGCCCAGTGGCACTGCTGGGCCGGGGGAGGCTGGGGGATCGCGGGGGGACAGGGGCTGTGCCCCACCATGTGCCCGACCCCGAGCACCGGACCGGCCACGGCGCCTGCACCCCCGCCCCGGGC